TATATATATATATATATATATATATATATATATAATATTCAGGTAGAGATACAAATAAATATTAGCATGACAATTCGAAATGAATCCCAGCATGCAATCTTCCTGGCAAGACTAACCAACATAATATTCAAACATTGACGCCACGGCCGCTGTCGACGCCGCTGCGCCAGCGTCGGCGACTTCTGTTATCGCTGCCAATTTGACCAAATAGCAATTGAATGCTGCAGCAGCAACAGCAGCACCAGCAGCAAGCAGCGTCAAACAACAGCAATCAGCGTTAGTGTCTATGGACACGCTGTGTTTTGTACGTCTTTGTATCGACCAGCCCCAAAAAAATATACCCACCAACTTTCCCTACTGAGAGATTCGCCTTTAGCCCCGCCCACCCAACCACCTCGCTGACACCGTCCGCCCCTTTTTCTCTAACAACAGGCTTCTCGTTCTTTTTCATGAACCAAAAAATATTCCCTTCATTTTCACTAGTCCTCTCCATTGTAATTGCTCTCTAGCCAATATGAGGCGATTCCCTTGGCAACAAGCCAAGAAAGAAAGCTTTTGGCGCGAATCGGCTGGTAGCTTTTTAGACACGGTTAATTACTGACAGAAAAAGTGACTCATAGTCTACGAATGTCATTCCTTGTTTTTCCTAATACAATCCCAGAAATTATCTTATTCCCACTTGTCGCTGGGAGCCATTCTTGATGTTATTTTCAGTTCTCTAGCATGCCAAAATTGGAAATTAGCTAGTGAAGTTGAATAACGTCACTAGAGTTGTTAAGCAAAGAAAACACAATTGTTGCATGACCTGGATAATCACCAGCTTCCTACTTTTTTAGTAAAGCTGCCCTAGTTAATCTGCAATACCCCTCCGTTGGTTTCCAAGAAATTAGTGCCCTGACAAAAGATGATGACTAGAGAGGAGAGGTTAACTCAGGCAATGTTTTTGCAACAATGAGTGTACTCTCTTCCGACTACGTTAAGAACGTTTCATCTTGTATAGATGGAACTGAATTCCAATTCAAATGTTTAAATTTCCATCATTTACGGAAATAACGGTGTAAAAATTTCCGTAAAGAACCCTGATAATTAGTTATTTCCTGATATTTTAACCTGCTTTTCCGTTCTGTCCGTACGGCTCCTGAAACCGCGCCTGCTTCGAGATTAAAGACCATAAATTGCAAACAAAAGAAAACGAAAAGATGAAAGCATAGATGGACTTCATCGCTACAAAACACATTCGTTCGCAGTCGCTACGGCGACACATCACGCGCCTTGATGTCGGGAAAAGCAATGAATGCCTGCAAAGGCATGCTTTCAGTTGCTTTCTAAACCGTGCCTCTACAGTATCTTGCAAAGCCTTTGGAATAAACAGACAAAGCTACAGTAGTTTATCTACACCAAGATCCTTCTAAGTTAAAATTCCATACTAAAAACAGCCAGCATTTCCTTCAAAAATCGATGCTTCAAAAATGACTACAACTACTTTCTCCTAGATCAAGGCTTCAAAAAATCTATGGAATATACTTTTAGGATGTCTGTACCACAAAAATTAAAAATACCACAAGACTCCAACACATGAAGCACGGAAATCGATGTCTTGAAGAACTATTACGGCGAACGACCTAGAAATTCGTTACAATAGTGGACTCCAAGTATGCCTGTCATACCCCAAACAAGCAGTTGTCTTATTAATACCTGCTCATCCCATCCTCAAATATGACCGGGACACAGAACCATTGTTTCGTGGAGGGCGCTTCCTCTCAATAGGTCCAAGAGTTCAAAAAGGTCAGCTGAATAAAAAAACGCAATAACTCACAACTGCTTCGCTATAATCATCAAAAATTTTATTACCTGCCAAAGAACTGTACCACCTAAGTGTATTAGTTTTAACATTGTAGAGTAGCTAAACCAAGATTCCCTTCGTACCTTTAATGTATTTTTGCAAAGAGAAAATCAGCAGTTGAAAAGTTACCAAAAGTATATGGAGTAACTTTTAGTGAAAATATTACAAACGAGTTTTATTGATTCAAAAGCTCTCTGGATTTTGACTGCATAAATTGCAATATTTATAACGGGGTGGACGATCTACTCGTAGAAGTGTCAAATTTATAGCTAAGGGCTTTATAACTATCTAAATCCGATGACATAAACTTCTTCAGAGAAGGTATTAAAAAGCGGTAGAAGAAAAAGCCGCTGGTATATGGTAACATTATACGAATTCCGTTAGATTGAAAGATGGATTTTGCAGAAAACTGACGCTGCAGGATCGGTAGCCATAGACCAGTATCATACAAGTGAAAAAATTATAAAACTTTAAACAGAACAACGAAATAAAGAAAAATTTGGGCGCCAAATGCGTGTTGCAAACAGTTTTGGTAGAGGAAAATTGGAAGTTTTTTGATGTAGAACAAAACAGCTTTTCAGTAAAAGCACATTTTGAGGACAGATTAATAGAATATGTACGTTATTTTGAGCAATAATTAGAAAAACACATGCAACACTTAGTACAGCTAAACTTATAACAATTTCTTCTCCTCCTCCTCGTTTCCATTTTCTCCTTCACTTCCATTATCTGCCGTATCTACTCAAGCCGTATTTCCTAACCACAGTCTTAGAAGGTTTCTTTTTTTGGAGGGAAGGTACAAAATGTCTTATTCAACTGTTTTTGTTTCCATTGGTGCGTTGAAGTTCAAAACGTGTAAAGAACAGTTTCATTCTTAGCAACAAAAGGGTTGTCACTGATATCGAACAGCAAATAAACATTTGCTTAAGTTGTTCCACTTTACAGCATTTGGTATCAACTTAGAAATACAAGATTTAAAATGATTTACTCAAAAGGCACCAACAAAACTCTTTTAACTTCTTTCTGAAAACTTTTTTTGACTGCCGCCTTACTACGCAACTTCTTCAGCATATCTCTAAAGGTATGCAACATATTCAAGACATGATGCAGCCCCTCAATTCTAAGTCTTGTTAATAAATGGTAACAGCAAGATGCTCTAACTACGGACTGCAGAGTTTAGAACCCTTTCAATCTATTCATTCACTTTTTCTGATTTATTCAAGATAAAGTTTTAATAAACAAAACCTTTTTTACCTCTTAGCTAATATTTCATCTTCCTTTCTTTCCCTTTCCTCCTAAAAAAATTGGACTTCAGAGCAGCCGACCAAAAGAGAATTACAGGCCCTTTTCCAAAAGCAATAATCCTAATATCAAAATAGGTAAAAGAAATGAGTAAAAGGGAAGGGGAAACAAGGATAGACGATGGAAGAAAAAACAGGACCAACGACCATGGGAAATTGTGGGAAGAAAACGAGAAAGTCGCTTTCTTTCTTTTAAGGTATCAGTCCCAATGAAATTAAAAGGAAAATAATAAAAAGCACTCATCAAATAAAAGTAGAAACGAAGGGAGAAACACAACAGCTTTAAAATAATAAATCTCTAAGCAATTTAATGTGCCGTCAATAGCGAACAAGTAATAAATAATGACTTTAACAAGAATCCTACCAAACTCCTTGCGACCCTAGCTCCAACAAAGACCACCGACGTGAAAAAAGTAAACTTCTAAAACCTTTGAAATCCTTATTCCAGGAACACCTAAAATTCACTAAAGTTTCACCGCTCATGGAAAAATTAATCCAGAATTTTCCCAAAAAAACTTTAGTAGCAGATCAAAAACCAAGCTCTTGTTACGACGTTTATGTATCACTGATGCAACTTTTTTCTGGCCAACAACAGAATTAAACTGCACTATTGCACAACAACCGAAGAAACAAGTTTGTCAACTTGAAAGCCCATCTTAAACAAAGCCATAAAATTTAGTTTGTTAGTTTAATAGGAAAACAAAAAATAAAAAAAATTAAAAATTTTTTAGGCGCGAATTCGCTTCCAAAATCCTCCTGAGCACAATCGCCTACAAATTTAACAACGAAACAGCGAAAAAAAGGAATCCGCCCTACTGATGAGGAAGAAACTTCTCTAACTCTTAAACAACAAGAAGAACAAGAAGACACCCGGCGTTAAGCAACAAAGGCATCCTGCGGGTGTTCTTTTCCGCTTCCCGTTTACATCAGGACATCCTTCAGCCTTGTCCGTTATTGTCACCTTCCTTAGACGCATCTTCTAACCGCTGATCGTAAGAAATCACCGAAATAAACTGCATCGTTTTCACTGGGATCAATGGCAGAAAGTGAAACTTATCAATGAATCCATCAACTTCTTCGGTGACACCTGCCATACAATTTGGCGACTGTAGAAATCGTAGGCAGTGAGTGAAATGAGGCTGAAAACTCGTTTGCTTTGCTGCTAGTTTCCAGTTAATCATCAAACTGTAAAAAACTTAGGTGACTGGTATTTTTTAAGTAAGCTAATTATATGAACAAAAAATAAGACACAAAAATTTAACTCCTCCTTTTCTTTACCAAGCATACCACAAGAATTGAGACAGAAAGCCATCATCTTCAATGGGAATAAGCTAGAATAAAGGCAGTTATGACTTTTAAAAACTATAATGGTAAAAATTCTCACAAATACTCTTGCCATGTCGTCAGATAAAGAGCCGTACGATTGACTTGTCCAAGAATTGATTTTGAACAACAGCTACTGCAGTTAGCAGCTGCAGAGGCTTAGTAGACAGCTTTCAACCAATTTGAATTAACTTCGAATTCCCGCGTTTACTAAGTACCAGCGAAGAAACAGTAAACGATTAATTGCCGTTCATTACAGAACCCAACAATAAGCCCATTGCAATCAAAACGTTTTTCTTCGACAACACCGTCGTCCAACCTAGCGTTTGAATTTCGAACAAGTCCATACAGCCGACAGTTGTAAGAAAACAGCAAGCGGTGTGCACGCATACGTTGCGGACTCAGAACAGAGTCCATGTCTCCAGCTAATTAAGATTGTTTCCCTAAGGGAGCATTGTGAGCCTCCGTGCTTTTTCCTTCAAGGAGCCTGCGCGCTGCTTGTTGCCTCAGGCTCCATAAATGCGTTTCGTAAAGGTTTGGAATTTGCACTTTGCGAGATGCGACCTTTGACGCTGAATGCTGTCCAGTAATCTGTTTCAGATGAAAACCGTTACTTGGCTACTGTGATGAATAATAGTAAATCAAACGGCTAAATTTATTGACAAGTGTAGAAAGCGGACGTAGGCTGGTTGCTGTGCGCTTATGTTGAAAGCGACATGATATAGAATCACTTCCAATTACTGCCGGCTGCATGAATAGCAGTAAGAATTTACAGGTGATAATAATAATTGTACTGTTAGAACACTTTTTTTGTACGAAAGTAACTGTAAGACCGAAGAGGAAAAAAGAAAAGGAGAAAATGGTACAAGACAAGTGTAACACCATGAGTATACGGTGACATTCAAAAATCACCTAAAAAATAAACTTCAAAAAAAAAGAAAAAAAAAAAA